TTAGTATTGTTTATTTGAAAGTCTAGTATAATTGTATCCTGAATCCATCTGGCTCTAGGCTTTTTAAATTGGAAGAGTTTTGATTACTGTTTTATATCATTGGTTGCTTAGATCTATTTAAGTTATTTACTTCATATTGGCTTAATTTTGGTAGGCTATATGCACCTCAGAATTAATCCATATTATTTAGAGTTTCCAATTTAGTGAAATATATAAAATATTTAAAGGATGTCCACACAATTCTCAGAATTTTCTTAGTATCTGTTGTAACTTTTCCTAATTCCCTTAGCTTTTATCTTTTTTATCTCAACTTTCGTTAATTTTGCTCTTCTCCCTTTTGTGCTTAAATTAGATAAGATTTGTGAATTCCATTTATCTTTTCAAATAGCCAATTGTTTTACTGATTCATTTTATTGGTTTTTTTATTTATCATTCATCAAATTCCACCTTCCACCTTAATTTTTATTATTTCTTTTCATCTACAACTTTGATGTTTGGATTACTGTTGATTTTCTATATACTTTAAGGTTTATCATTGGACTATTTACCTCCAACTTCTCTGATTTTTTTATTATATACATATTTTGAACTATAAATTTTCTTTTCAGAACTTCCTTCACTCTATCACATAGATTTGGATATGTTTTTTGTTTTTATTTAATTCTAGGATATTGCTTTTTGCATTGCTCCATTAATCGTTCAATAGTTTATTGTTCTATTTCCATGAGTTTGTATATTTTCAGTAGTTTATCCTGTAGATTTCTAACTTTATTTCATCATGGTCACATGGAATACAGAATTTTATTTCCATTTTCCCAAACTTATTGAGATGTGCTTTGTGTCATGTGATCTTTTTCAGAGAAGGTTCCTGGCGGTGCTTAGAATGTGTATTCTTTGGTGTTTGAGTGGAATGTTCTGTAAGTATCAATTAGGTCCATTTGATCCATGATGCTACTTAATTCCATGTTTCTTATTTTTTTTTATATAGTTATCTATCTAATGGTAAGAGCAGATTGATGAAATCACCCACTATTACTCTGCTGGAGTAATTCTATGATATTAAATTTAATACCAGTTTCTTTACAAAAATTGCTTGCACTTATATTTGGTGCTTATATATTAGAATTGCAATTTTCTTTTGATGATTTGGTCCTTTTATCTACATGAAGTACCTCTCTGTGGTGTTTCAAACAAACTTTGACCCCCATTGGCTCATATATTTGAATTCTTAGTCACCTTGGAGTGGTGCTACTTGAGAAGGACCAGGGGGTCTGGCCTTGTTGGGTAGCTGTGGACTGTCAGAGGAAGTGTGTCACTGCAGCTTGGCTCTGAGGTTTCCACAGTCCAAGCCATGCCTAGGTGCTCTCTCTTCCTTCTGCCTGTGAATCTGGATGTAGAACTCTCAGCTACTTCCAGTGCCATGCCTGATTACGTGCCATGATGTTCTCTATCATGATGATAAAGAACTGAACCACTGGAACAGTAAAGACGCCATGGTCATAAGAATTGTCATGGTCATGGTGTCCTTCAAAGGAACAGAACACTGACTAACACACCTGCATTATCTCTTATGAGAGAGATTGGTTTGAAATCTATTTTGCAGACATTAGAGTAAGAACTCCTGTTTGTTTCCTGGTCTTATTTGCTTTCTGTACATGTTTTGCATCCTTTCAGCCTAGTATAGTGTTATATTTAGTGATAAGTTGTTTTAGTCTGCTAGTCTGTATTTTTTAATGTGTGAATTGAAACACTGAATTTTAGAGTTTCTATTGAAAGGCGTGTATTGTTCCCTGCCATTTTATTAATTGTTTTGTGTTTGAGATTTTTTTTTTACTCTTATGTATAATAAATGTTGCAGCATTAATTTTTCTTCCTGTAATCTCTTCATTGTGATTATCTTTCTTTTTTTTTTTCAGACCGAAGTATTCCTTCCAGTATTCTATGCTGGGCTACTTTAGTGGTCAATAATTTCTTTAGCTTGCTTTTATCAAAAAAAGTTTTCATTTCATCATAACTTATGACAGAAATTTGCTTAATGTATTAATGTGAGTTTGCAATTATATCCATCAAAGTCTAAGAGAAATCAGCCTTTCTGGAGTTTGAAGTGACAAGCCAGCATTTATTCCAACTGGTTGCCTTTTGATGTGACTAGGGTCTTCTCTTTTACCTTTCTCAATATACCCTTTGCTCTGTATATTTAGGGTTTTAAATATGATATGTAATGAGGAGGTTTCTTTTTTCTGGTCCTGCTTATTTGTTTTGCGTGCCTCTTGTATTCAGACAGGATTCCTTTCCCTACATTTGAGAAATATCTTCTGTGACATCATTAAAATATTTTTATATCATTTGAATGAAATATTTATTCTTGTATACTTAGAGTATGTAGGCTTTGTCATAGTTTTTGATATATTCTGTTCATACATTTAAAAACTGTCATCTATCTTAACTGGATCATCCAATACTTTTCTTTTGTCTTCATATCTTCATGTATGACATATTCAATAACATCCATTCAACAGTGAGGTTTTCCACTGAACTTTTTATTTGACTTATTTTATTTTCCATTTAAATCATCATTTTGTTTTTATTTTCAGTATTTTTATTTCTTTATTAAATTGAATTTTGACAATATGGATTGACTCCCTCATTTCATTTTGCTATCTGTGTCCTCTTATGTAATATTTAAGTCCTTTGCAAGCTGTTTTTACCATAATTAAAAGTCCTTTCCATTCTGCATCTGAACTTTTATTTAAGACATTTTAACTGGGAGTCATTTCAGTGAGGGTGGTAATTTCTGGAGCATTAAGTTGTCTTACGCTTTCGTGTTACTTAGGGTTATGTCCTGGGATATGACTACCTGGCGTTAGAATGTTAGTTATGACTTATTATTTTAATTCAAATTTCCTCTCTTCTTTCAGTGGACATATTTACAAAATTAATAGGAATTTAATGTTTAGCTTTGGTGTTATTTTTGGCTGTTCGATTGGTGCTCCATGTACCAGGCTTTATCTCTAGACTGCACCTGTAGGTTAAATATTGCCTGGTGATAATAGAGTAGAACGTGACTATAAAAAATGCTTATTGAACAGCAATTAGTTCAGGGAGTAGAGGAGCTGATGATACTGTGTGCACTGATATGTCAGTGTGGGTAAAGGAGAAAGTGAGCAACCCCGAGGAGACTAGTTCCAAGTTAGAGGTTAAATGGAAGCAGAGGAGAGGCACATACATAAGTGTGGTAATAACTGAGTCAATGGACAAATGAGGGGGTAGGTGGGACACTTGGTTAATGGCAGACTAAAAGAGGAAGTAATTATATGTATTCAGATACTATATGGTAGGTCTGCCTTTGAGTTTTGGGAGATGCATCAGCAACAGGAATAGGCACGAGAAAAGAGAAAGGAAGGGAAAAGGGGGAAAAGGGGTAGGGTTTGAGGGAGATGGAGGATAGCACAAGTCTGGGCAGGAGAGCAAGCAGGAGAGGAAGAAGCAGTAGGAGACAGTGTTCTATAATACAGTGTCTTTTCAGGACACCAGTATGAATTTGACTGAAACTTTTACAATTGTTTTTGAATGAATTTTTTTCTGTTTTAAGTCTTCTTAATCTGGGGGAGAAACTCCTTCAGAATCTAATCCATGTTTATAAGTTTCCTAGTCTTTTCTGTCTTTTCATGGCTCGTTGGTGGCAGGCGGCATTGAGTCTACCATCTTAAAAATTACCAAGGGCTGGCTGGGAATAGGGAGATGTTGATCACAGTTGTAAATTTCTGTTTATAGGAGGAATACTTGTGTGAACAGTCGTGTGGAGATTGTAGTCAACAATAGTATCACATCATATAGTTAATATTTTGGTAAAAAGCTGTTACTTGTTCTCCACTTCCCAACATGGTAACTACTAGATGTGATGGAAGAATTAATAAACTTGTGGTAATCATCCCAAATAATTAATCTGTACACTGTAAATAAATAGTTTTGTCAATCGTATCTCAATAAGGCTGGGGGAACAACACCAAAAAACTCCCCCCACATCCCACCACAAGCTGGGCTGTGGGTTACAACTCTTTCAGCCTCAACTCTATGGCCTTTTCCTCACTAACCTCTAACTATACCTGATTTGCAATGTATTTTTATCCCCCCCCCAACCTTATATATCTTTTTTCTACAGTGTAATATCTTCATTGCTTGAAATACTAAATGCTTGGCTGGGGACCCTCACATTTCTTGCTTGCAACACAGCCATTTCACCTATGCAACAGGAGATGCGGTCTAATGTCTCATGAATGCAAACTTCCGGTGTGAAGTTCTCCCAGGAGGAATGAACCGACGCAACGTTTAGGCGCCCAGGGATCTTTATTCTTCTCTTTATTCGTTCTTTCTAAGTAGATACACATTGGGTGTTCTTATGGAAATTCTGACCTAGAATTGTGGCTGAAAGGATAAAGAAAATAAATACTATGGATGCGGGCATAAAGCTGGGTCTTATGAACATAGAATTCCTTGGCACCGAGGACAGAAAATGCAAATGGAGACTACCACATTATCCTTCAAATCGTTCGTAAAACTCTGTTGTTGTCCTGTTTGGCTGAATATTAAAAGTCCATAGAAAGCCAAAGCCATTATGTATGGAGGTATCTGACAAGAACGTTGTTTCAGAGGTCTCTGAAGAAGAGAACGAGTACATCTATGTAAAGGAACATGAAAGACAGGGAATAGCGACGACTACTAAAGACGTCACATTTGCTAAAATCGCAGAAGAAAAAAAAAAAGAAAAAAGAAAGTTACCTCAGGCCAAGCAAACTCCGCTGGCCCGCATCCTTTTCTGCAGCTCGCGCACCTCCCCTTGGTCCTGCCCTTCGCCCCGCCCTGCCCTGCCCTCCGGCTCCGCCCCTCCGTTCCTGCCACTCTTGTTCCGCTGGCTCCGCCCCTCTCCCCCTGACTGAAGAACAAGTGCTCATTGGATCCCGCCCCCTCTCTTCCATCCACCAATAAGATGTGGTTTCGTCATTTGCCACCGCCCGGCCGCTGGTGACGTGAGCGACTCCCCGCCCTCTTTCCCGCCTCCGCGGGCTTCTAGGAAGATGGCGAAGGTCACCGAGCGTTACGACGTGACTTGGGAAGGTAATTTCGGGCGGGGAGGGTGCTGGAAACCCCGGAGCCCTGGGACACGGTTCCGAAGTGCCCGGTGTCCCGGGAGAGGTTCGTCCTGTGCTGTGTCCTCCGCAGGGCAGTGGACACCGAGGCGGGTTCCTTCTCAGGCCCAGGCGGCGTACCTGTCGCCTTGGCTGGTCCCTGCTCCTATCCTCTGCCTTTTTCCGCAGCAGTCCTGTCATTGGCTTAGGAGGCAGGAGGGACGCGGGACTGCGACTGTCACACTTCGTGTGTCTTCTGGGAGGCGTGTAGGAGGCGGAATCCATGTAGTAAAGCTTGTCTGAAGCCAAGAAATAAATAGGTTCAGTGAGGCCTGTGCTAATTATTTGGAAGGGTTTTAGTGTGTAAAAAGGTGTGTGGAACAGCCATAAACAATTATGATTCTTCCACATGCACCATATATATATGCACACATATGCACCATATATATGCACACACACACACATATATATATATATGGTGCATGTGGTATATATATAAAATTTATATTTATATATATTTTTTCAGAACCGGGTCATGAACCTACTCAGACCACACACAACATAGCTTTCTACTTATTTTCTGTCAATACTGCCTTTTTCTGAAGGGAAATGTAACTGGTTAGTTTGGCGGCATGTGTTCATGGCTGATGGTTTTTTCCTGTCAGGTTCACCAAGAGTGGAGATCTTCAATAAATCTTCAAATAAAACATTCAGATCTTGGATCAGCTCTGTATGGGCTGTTACCTCTCTCAGAAACGTTGGTGGGAGTCATTCTTAAGAGAATAAATGAGTATTTTTAAAGCATGGAATTTGTGTTCATGGACAGTACGTATTCCAGCAGTTAGCACAGTGCAATGTACTTCAGTAGGTAATTTGCCCACTGAATGGCTTCCTGGGATCTTTAACATATAGAGTGAAATTTACACTTGTTGTTTGATCAGGAATAAATCTCAAGTATTATACAGGGCAAAAGTTTATTATACAGCCTCAATACTCAAAGAGTTTACAATTTAATGGAGCAGCCAACATATCAATTCATTTTTTTTTCAAGACAGGGTTAAGGCGTGAATTTTTTTATTTATTTATATTTTGGGTTTCTGAGACAGGGTTTCGCTGTAGTTTTAGAGCCTGTCCTGGAACTAGCTCTTGTAGACCAGGCTGGCCTTGAACTCATAGGAATCTGCCTGCCTCTGCTTCCAGGGCTCTGGGATTAAAGGCGTGGGCCACCAATTCATTTTTAAAAGGTTTGTGTCCAACTGTACCTTTAGCTGTACAGTGTATATGTGAGGGGATGTTCTTTTCAATGCTTTTAAAAATGTTTTAAATATTTCATGATTTTTCTAAAGTGGCGTTATGAAAGTCTGTGACATATAGCTTTTAAAAACTGTTAGCATGCGTATCCTCAAAGGAAAAGTAGGTTTGCCACTACCAGCAAGCAAAATGACCCTTATGTCACGTGGTGGCTGCTGTCCTGTGGGCATTCTAGAGTGTTGTGCTGTAACTAGATTGGGAATAGTTACTGCTGTGCAGATTTGTTGAGCAGCAAAAGAAGAACTCATTTTAAAGTGGTTGGTAAGCTCCTAACCAGAGGCAAAGAGTTGAGCTATTAGTTAATTTTATTAAGTCACACTGCTGGGAGATCTGGCTCTTGGTGGCGTCCAGCCTGTCCCAGTTGTGTGGCCTGACTGTGCTTGTCTTTACTAAGTTGCCTGATTGGCCATGCTTTTGTGTTAGGGGTCAGCACATGCCATTCCTTTCACTAAAATTCTCCCCTCACTGTCTCACTCCTGACTCTCACTCCGCCCTGCTTCCAACTTTAATCTCAAAAGTTACATCCTGCAGGTCCCTCGAGCATCCAGCCTCTCACCCCTGCCACCATATTTACAAAAGAAAGGAAGAAAGAGGAAAAACAAGAAAATAAAAACCCCAAGCAACAGAACTGAACAAAACCTGCTACTGGATTGTGTGCATTCTGGCTATTAAAGGACTGGCTAAGTTGTGTTACATGAGGATTTTTTTCTATTAGAACATAGGGAACTAAGCCTACTCTGTTCAGTTATGTAACTAGTGCTGGACGCATGGGAGAACATTTACTTATTGATTGGACTGTTGAAAGTGTTAATTAACACTAATAAGTTAGTTGTCCACGATTTTTCTAGCTTTCTGGCCATTTATTATCTTAGGTGAACTTAGGCATCCCAGTGACAAGAACTGTTTCCTTATTTTATAAAAATGAACTCTTAAATTTCCTGAGAACCTCTATTTTATGAAGGTTTTAAGAAAAAAAAACTTCTAGGCTTTTATTTCAGAGACTTATGAGAAAGAATTTTGAGATGTGGGTGGTTGATGAGGACTCTTAGAGATGGTATTCTGTTTAGATACGGTGGGCAGTGTCAACTGTATCTTTAGGGATCCATTAGCATCACAAACTGATCCGCAGATCGTACACTATGGAGTGTTTGAATGCATGTGCATGTGTCTGTTATATGATATACATGAGAGGGTGTGGGTGTGCCTAAAGAAAGAGATGCCAGAAGAGGAAGTTGTGTGTTGATGCATCACTCTCTACTTTATTCATCTGAGGCAGGGTTTCTCCCTGAAACTGAAGCTGGGCTGGTAGATAGCAAGCCCTGTTGATCAGTCTCTTTGCCATTCCCAGTGGTGGGGTTACAGCCAAACAAGACTTTTTATGTGGTATGAGTGAATCGACTCAGAGTCTTGTGCTCGCAAAGCAAGGACCCTTACTTAGCAAGAGCTCCTAGCACTGAGCGTCTTCCTGGCCCCTGTAATCATGTTAACAGGAAAATTTATCATATGTGTATAAAAGGCTGTAGTAAGTCTAACGCTCAGTTAAGTCTCAAACAGATGCTATAACAGAGTAGAATGGAAGTTCCTTTTGTGAGCCAGTTGAAAGCATTTGTTTGGTAGAGTGTTATTTAAAAACTTGGAGGTAGGAAAGAGAAGTCAGTTAGGAGAGTAGTCGAGTGTCTTGAGGATATGAGTTTATGAAGAGCTGGACACGGTGCTTCATGCAGTGCCTAGCGTATAATAGCTATGAAATGAGTTTTTAAAAATATTGTAGAAAATCTTGTTTCTATTCTTAGTACCCAATTACTGTTTTTTTTTCCCTTTTTTCCTTCATCCCATAAGAAACCACATTTAGAGATTTTATGGATGTGGCTTCTGTGCCATATCTAGAAAACACAGTCTCACAGCCGACTTCCTGGCCTCTGACTCTCAGTCTTTCCACCCCTCCCCTTTCTGGAATGTTCTCTGAGCCGTAGGTGGAGGGACTGTTTTGTAGATGTGTCTACTGGTGTTACAGTGTTCTTTCTGCACCTTCCTTTTCTTTTAAGGTGCTCGGAAGACCTTGTGCCCATCAAATGTTTATATGTTATCCAAATGTATTATGCTATTACAGATCACTCCCTCTACGCAAGATTTTGAGATTTTATCTTCCTGTTTGTATGTGCATGTGTGATATTGGAATGCCTGAAGATGCCACAAGTTTCTGCCTGGTGTTTTGTCTTTGATTTCTACTCAGTTTTTCAAGACAGTTTCTCCCACTCCACCTTGAACTCACACATTAGCTAGACTGATTGGCCAATTAACTCCCAATCTACCTGTTTTTGTATCCCATTACTGAGATTAAGGGAGGATGTTGCAATGTCCAGCTTTTTGCAAGGGTTCTAGGGATCGGACTGAGGTTTGTATTCTTCTATAGCAAGTACTTTACCAGCTGAGTCATCTCTCTGCAGCCCTTTGCCTCTGTTTCTTAGTAGCAGTCTTCTAGGTTCACTTCACACTTTTCTTACCATTCTTTTGGTGGATTCTCTATATCCATTTGCTTCCAAATGCTGGAACACACTAGACTGATCGCACACTTCACTAGTACGTTGCAGTATATAATTGGAAGAAGACTTCTGCTGAAGTTTCAATACATTGAAATAATTTTTATTCTTCAGATTTAGTACCCACCCTGTCCCTTAGGCCCATGGCAATTTTCATCATCCTATAACTGACTTTATGATACAAATCTGTGGGACTGAGTAATTTTTAAAGGGTATATGCTGATTCATGTAAGTGAATGTGTAAGTGGTGTTCCAGAATTCACACCGGCGTGGAGGAAGTGCCGGGGTGGAGGAAGGAGTTCTGCGTGTACAGAAGATAGAGTAGCAGGCAGGCTGGTTCCTCATTTTTCAAGGCCAAGGTGTCTTACCACAATGAGAATTAGTCCTTAGGGAGAGAAATCGTGCTAGCCCCTTTGGATCCTTAGTGCACAGACAGTAGTTCATAGCATGAACATGAACATGGTGAGTAGCTTACATATATAGTATAGAATAAAATTACTTTGGCTTTGAAGAGCATGCCATCTTTGGGGGCAGCCCAAAATGAAAAGTATATTTAAGGAAGAATTACTCCCAAAATTTGTTTCTAGCCATAAGCTTTCCCTTATTTTATTTACAGCAAAGGTAACTAAATGTTTTGTGGTAGTGTACATTTAGTACAATGTTTTATGTACAGTACTTACTATTAGGAGTCCTAAATTTGGACCACATAAATGGGGGCAATGCATGTATGAAGTTGGATGAAAGACTATAGTAATGCCTGCAGAATTCACAAGTGCATGACCTCTTAACAGTAATCAAAATCAGCTTAAAAGCAAAACAAAAGCCCAAACCGTAGCATTGTCCAAACATGTGGTCTTTCAGTTTTGCTTTAAGTTGGGTGAGAGACTAGAAAGCTTGTAATCCTGTGATTTAATAACCTCAGTGGTAGAAGTGTTAAATGATAAGTCCCAAGTCACAGTTTCTAGGTTGATGAGGCAGAGTTAAGTCCTAGTCCGTCTGACTAGATCCCTTGTTCTTTCTGCTTCTCAGTGCCTGTAGCAGGTGTCAGTGGGTTTTGTTCCAGTGCAGAAGCAGATCGTAAACGTCAGCAGCTCTGTGTATTATTTGACTCTTATTGCCAATTCCTATAGCATTACAGCTCAGAAAGAAAAGCCATAGGTTGAAATAAAACTTTGCACACAAAATAATTGGCTGCAAATTTTGGCTGTGAGGTGGTAGTTTCTTGACTCAAGTTTAAATTTTCTGATAAAATGCAAAGAAAAGAGCAAGTCAGAGATGCTGTAATTAGAATGAGATAGTAGTGTTTGCAGCTATAAATGAATATTGAATGGCTTAGGGAGAAGCTTTGAGATCTGTTGATTCAGGGAACATAAGAAAATTAGCAGTATGTATAAAAATACTGAACAAAATGTTAACAGCTGAAATACTAATAACAGCCATTTTTTAAAAAATCATGTTATGACAGATCCTGTTTTCAGTATATAAAATTAATTAATAATGTTCATTATAGTAGCCAAATTATGCAAGTATTATTTTTATCTTCACTTAGTAGATAAGAACATTGAAGTGCAGCGACTAACTCAGGTAATATCACACAAGTCCAAAGTGTCAGTGTTGAGATTTGAAGCCTAGCAGTTTGAGTGCTGCATTTCCACTTAGATCTCTGTATACAGATAAAAATAGAAATGTATGCACTCAGTTGATAATTAATCATACCTTAACTATGTGGCTTAGTTCAGGCCAATATAACAATCTAACATATACACCAGTGTGGAAGTCTGTGGACTCTAAATTGTTTCTGTGCATTTCTGGAGGTTAAAAACGGAGAGCTAGGTCCCGGCAGATCCGGTGTCTAGTGACGATTGGACAACTAATCGCAGAAAGCTTAAGAAAGACAGCCTCTTCTGTCTTGTTGTGAGGGCACTGTTTACCTCCCAAAGGCCCATCATCACTTTGAGTCTTGGGATTTAAAAAAAAAATTGGAAAGTGTCATAAACATTTAGACTTTACTATTATATTAAATTGCTTCCAGAAAATTTTGGTTTTGTTTTTATTGTAGTCAGTTCTTAGCACTCCAGACTGGGCTTTTAGTTTTATTTATTTATTTTTAATAAAATTTTTGTTTTAAAGAAAAACAGATTTGTTTTTGTTGTTGTTTTTGTTTTTTTGTTTTGTTTTGTTTTGTTTTGTTTTTTGGCTCATGGTCCTGGCAAAGGTATTCTGATTCTCAGCTACTGGGGAGAGACCAAAAGTTTGTGAATAGACAAGACTTAACGGTCTGATTTCCTTTTTAAAAAATATTCAGGAAGCTCTTCTGTCATAAATAGCGCCCTGTGATAACTAACAGCCCTGTCAGCTCATTTCTTTGGTACTGATTTTGATCCGTTCATTAGGAAAGAGCCCTAAAAAAAGCCCACTTAAAGGTTCCACCCCAATCTGGTTTATTAGGAATCAGATTTCCAACCTGGGAACTTTGGGAGAGACATTTAAACTACAGCAGAGTTCTTGACTCTAGAATTTCCTGTTGTAATTTGCACAGTTGTTCTCCTGTTTTATGTTCATTATGTTGATTTATATCAGTTTATGTTGATCTTACTGCTGCTTTTCATATTATTTACTAATTCAATTAAAGATTTCCTTAGATGTGTTGTTTTCTTGTTTACTTCCTGCTTGGCAGGGTACTATTAAGGATACTTGATGTGAATATCCCTTTGTTGCTGATAGCCCAATCTGGTAGTCTTGATTTTTTTTTTATATCCATGAGTAAATTGCAAAAATATGTTGAATATTTTGAGATGTCTATATATAATTGGATGCTCTTTTTTTAAAAACAATACTCTGACTTTTATAAAACCCTGAAAGTAACCTATATTTCCCCTCTCTCCTCCAATTTATACCTACAGCTGCCTAAAGTGATGCAGGGCCTTTGTAGAAGACCCAGGGCATGGTGTTCATTATGGTTAAAGATGATTGACATACAGATTTGCCTATAAGTTAGAGTTCATTTCCTTATGTAAATAGTTGATTTCGTATGTTCATATATGTGTATGTGTTAAGAACTTAAATATTATATTTTTTCAGAAATGCGAGATAAAATGAGAAAATGGAGAGAAGAAAACTCAAGAAATAGTGAACAAATCATGGAAGTTGGAGAAGAATTGATTAATGACTATGCCTCTAAGCTTGGGGATGACAGTGAGTTTTCAATTATGTGTCAGCCCAGCATGTCTTATTTGTGATTCTTCCTATTTGATGTGTTTTATTAATATTTTACCTATTAGTTCTGTCACTCCTTTGTTTCAGGAAATGTAATGAATGCTTTAGTTTAAGAAGGATTTATATTGTTAATAGTAGTTGCCCAGTTACTTGTATATTTCTGTGATATAACAATATGACTGTGACAACTAAGAGTCTGTGGTGTATAGTTTTATGTCAGCTTGGCACAGGCTAGCATCTTGTTGGAAGAATGACCTCAGTTGAGAAAATGGCTCCACCAGATTGGCCTGTGGGCCAGCCCTTGGTGCATTTTCTTGATGGATGCTGTGTATGGGAGGGCCCAGTTCACTGTGGACAAGTTGTTAAGGAAGGCAGTCTGAGCAAGCCACAAGGAGCAAGCCAGTAAGCAGCACTCCTTTATCGCCTCTTCAGTGATTCCGGATCCATGTCTTAGGTTGAGTTCTTGCCCTGACTTTCTTGGATGATAGATTTCAAGCTGTAAGGGGAAATAAACATTTTTTTTTCACCAAAATTAATTGCTTTTGGTGATGGTGTCTTATTACAGCAACAGAATAGTTAAGACAGTGTTTATGGAGTTGTGGTTCCAGGAGGTTAAAATCCATAATGATGGAGGGAGCAGGAAGACTGTCTTCTTGAACTACAGTCATGAAGCAGAGGCTTTGAAAGTTCAAGTCCTGCCCCCAGAGATGGATTTCTCCACCAAGGCCACATCTCTTCGCCCTCCCTAAGCAACTGGTCCTCAAGTGCGCCAGAGACTGTGGAGGACAGTCTTGTTTAAACTACCACAGTAGTGAAGCCATTGGACAGGCATTTAGGTTTCAGAGGCTCAAAAAACTGGTAAATATTTAGCTAGTATATATTTCTTAATGGTATTCTGATCTGGTCAAAATGTTTTTCATAGAGAATTTTAGAATTTAGTATGTATTAAATATTGATTTTTTTTTACTTCAGAAGATTTTATATTGCTGAATACCTTTAAAGATGTATTTTTAAGTTTAGAAATATTACAATTACTAATTTTCAGTAATAAGTAACATTCTTTAAATTAATTGAAAGAATTTATTCATTTCTGTTTGGGAAATTTCTATATTAAATTCAGAGGTTTTTTTTCCCCATCTCATATTTCTAGTTTGGATCATATATGAGCAGGTGATGATTGCAGCCCTAGACTATGGTCGGGATGACTTGGCATTGGTAAGTATTTAAACTAGTTTATATTTTACCCTATATTTATTTCGCTTTATGAGTTATATATTAATAAATGATTAAGGCTTATAGTAGGGCATGTTTTGAATGTTTTCTATAACAAGTTTTGAATGCTGCTTTGACAGGACTGGGGTTGTAACTCAGTGATAGGATGCTTGGCTAGCATGTAGAAGGTTCTGGGCTTGCTCTCTAGCGTCATGCACATAAAAGAAAATGACAGAATACTCTACCAGTAAAACAGTAAATGAAGCTAGATATTTGGGGCTACAGACGAAACTACTTAGTTCATTTTTATAGAACATTTCTGTGATGTAATAGCACTTGTTCAAGTCTAATTTTTTTTAACTCTTGTTTTCAGTTTTGTCTTCAGGAGTTAAGAAGACAGTTCCCTGGTAGTCACAGAGTTAAGCGTTTAACGGGCATGCGATTTGAAGCTATGGAAAGGTAAGCATCTAGTAAACAACCCAATCTCACTTAAACATGGCAGACATGGCAGCTGTACCTACATCATTGATGCAGAAGCTCTGTCTGATGTCAGGGTACTTCTCAATACAAATCACACTCGTGCTTCTAGGAGACAGCATGGCACAAAGTGTAACCCATTTGCCACTTCTGACTAGTGAAATTAGGTCATGCTCTACCAGACGATGCACTTTAAATCCCAGTTCCAGCACGTTTTAGCTTTGGACTTGACCAATGAATACTCTATATTTTCAGCTTTATTCCTCTAAATAAGGTATTGCCAGCTTCCTAGGGTTTGAGGAAAGCACACCCATATTCATGCATACGCTCTCAAAGTACATAGAAGACATGGTCATCATTTGGATCAAGAGTTTTCAATCTTGTAGAAAAATAACTCCTTTCAAACAATACATTTAGCCCAGAAATGGAGAGAAGAGATGATCTGTTTCACGTAAAGCACAGGTGGGGACGCATTCAAACCTGTGCTGAAATGTGTGCAGTACATTTGTGGGGAAATCCAGGAGAGTTAAGGGTTTATTGGGATTAAAGGTAAGGTGAGGTGGAGTTTTCAGCTAGAATTGGAGCTGCAGATAACAGGCAGTTATGCTTACGGGTCACTAATATGCCCTGCCAACGGGTGTCAACTGAAGATATGAAGGAACATGTTAGGTTATTTAAGAGAAGTGACAACCTTTGGATTTATCTGTAAAAACATTTTATGTACTATATAGTCTAAAAAAGAACAGTTTTAAGCTTCTTACTTCTGATATCATTACTGTAAATTATAGCGGAATATAGAGGATGGGTGAAAGAAATTAAGAGAAAATAAACCATCAGTAACATTTTAGAAGTAAAGGGAAAAGATAAAAGTGACTTAGTTTTCTGTCTTTATGCTGATTTGTCACCAACCTAAGAAAACAACAAAAATGGGAAATAGTAGGTTTTGGTTGGAAAAACTGAGTTTGGTTTAACATCATGGATATCAAACTGAATAAGGAACAATTTGAATATATTGAATAAATTGTTCCTTATTCAGTTTGAGAAGTACCCATGGGACCAAAATGGAGACTAGAATTCCCCTTAGATTTGTCACCTTGTATTGTAGGGTAAGGTAGTGCCATCACTCTAACAGGAGTGAGAATGTCATCCAGTACTTTCTGTACCTGGATGGTCAAGAGTTTTGAATATGTTCTTCTTGTTTGTCACTTTAAATAATCCGGACTGGGGAGTTCCTGCTCATTAGAAATGTAGAAATGAGTCTTGGTGTCTCATCTTTCCTACACATTGTTCACTTTCCGCATAGGGCCTTGAGTATGTGTGTGCGCTCATGCACATTCAGTCTGCTAATGCAAGTGTGTCTCCAGTACCCAAGTCTGCTGTTGCTATTAAACCTTTTCCCTTTGCTTCCAAGATGTAACTGATGTTTTTCTGTAAATACTTTATAATTTTTCTTTTCTTAATAATAAAACAAACGTTCACTGTAAAATGAACATAGGAAGACTTGCATAGCAGTTATGAATGAAGATAAAGCTCAATTCAATATATTTCTGTATTTATGACATTTTAAGGTAATGGTTCTTGATATATCTTTCTTTTTAAATAGATATGATGATGCTATACAACTATATGATCGAATTTTGCAAGAAGATCCAACTAACACTGTAAGTTTGTACATTGTCCTGAGCATGACTTAAAAATTATGTAAGGGTAAAATGAATGAATTGAGGAAATACTGAGACAGATTGTTTTTTTCTTTATGTAGTTTAGGTGAGCCATGTTTTAGTTTAAAGATATTTGATACTCTTATTTCACTTGGTGAGGGCAGACTATGATATATTAAAACCCCACAAGGCTTTTTCCATGTTATAAAGCTTTATGAAGTACCAGTTTAATTAGTGAGTGTGGATATTTTTTATTTATGCTAATTAAAAATGAAAGACATCATCTCAGTGATAGTTATAGGGAATTAGTGCAACTATTTATTTCATTTTGCCTTTGCCTTTTTTCTATTTAATCCTTGAATTAAATTACATTACATAATTAAATTACATTAATTATTAATTATTGTCAATAATTATTTGTTTTAAAATTCCCTAGTTATTCTTTTTAATGTGATAATGTTTAATTTAATATGCTGACATCATAGTTTGCCTCAGTTTTCCACTTTTGGGAAGTTACAGGGGAGTTGTAGACAATAGTCATCTTTATGTCTTTCTATTTTGCAGTACACTTAAAACTGCAAAAAAATATCTTTAGAATTAAAAAATATTTTAAAAATTGTTTTATTTTTATGGGTATGAGTGTTTTGCCCACATGTAAGCCTGTGCAAAATTTGTGTTCAATACCTGTAGAGACCAGAAGAGAATTGGAATTGACTTTAAGAGAAGGTTGTAAGCCACCATGTGGTGCTGGGTTAGAACCTCGGTCTTCTGGAAGAGAAACCAGTACTGTTAATGGCTGGGACAGTTCTCTAGCCTCTACTTTTGGCATTAAGAAACAAACACTAGACTTTAGCTTTATAAAAGGAAAGATTGTTATGTTCACACAAGGTAAACGAAGAAAAGCTAGCTGGGTGGTGGTTGCACATGCCTTTAATCCCAGTGTTTGGGATGCAGAGGCAGCTGGATCCTTGTGAGTTTGAAGCCAGCTGGTCTACAAGAGCTTGTTCTAGGACAGGCTCCAATGCTACAGAGAAACAGAGAAACCCTGTCTCGAAAAAAACAAAAAAATAAAAAATAAATAAATAAATAAAAATATATATCTTTAAAAGTTACCATTAAAAAATCATTTAATACCAAAATATTTAATTGAACAACAGTGGCTCTGGGCAGTGGTGACACATGCATTGAATCCAAGTACTTGAGAGGCAAAAAAAAAAGGTGTATCCTTGTAAATTTAAGGCCAGCCTGGTCTATAGAGGGTTCCAGGATATTCAGGGCTACACAGAGAAACCCTGTCTTGAAAAATTAAAAAAAAAAAGGAAAGAAAGAAAGAAAAAGTGTAGAGTATAGTGTGAATTCTAATTGGTCTTAATAATAAAAACTCAGAGTCAGATATTAACTTATTCCTAACTATGTTGAGAGGTTCCATAAACTCCATTAATACCATGAGATAGCATATAATTCTGACCTTTGTCCAGAATCATAAGGGCTTTGATCCACTTTACTTAAATTTTCTGATTTGTTGCCTGTCTTTCCTGATTTATTTGCATTAGTAGAGGTTGTAGGGGCTCCAGTTATTGGTGTTTCCTATACAATGCAAGGAAGGATTCAGTTAGTTCTCTTTATCAATTGAGTTCTCTTGCTTTGGGGATATTTGTTGTTACTCTCTCCCCAAAAAATTACTGCAAGCTCTTTGCCAAGGTTCACTTTCTGCCCATAATTAGTCAACTTCATCATTAGTAAAAGGTACTACAATTTCTGTTGGGTGTATTCCTGCTAACTGATGAAGTGTCAATTTTCTTTTTAGATTCAACTCAGAGACCTTTTCTACATACGTTTTTTAATTTTTTACTCTGCTTATGTGGTAAAAAGATCCATTCTAAGATAACATCTTCCCTCTGTATTAATATTCCTGCAGGAGAATGCTTAGAGGGTAAAATAAACAAAACGCAGTCAAACTTTGGAATCCAATGATCCACATGTGCATCCTGACATTTCCACCAAAGCCAATTCTCTCTCAGATTCAGCTGATAATTATCTTGGACTATTTAAGTTCTTGTCACCATCTAAGGTTTTGAACCAATTATTCAATTCATTATTTTTTACCCCAATAGTGGGCCATAGATAGGAAGTGTCTCCTAGCAATCTTTGAAAGTCATTAAGAGTCTGCAATCAATCTCTCCTAATTTGTACCTTTTGAGGTCTAATTTTTTGTAGACCGATTTTATATCCTAAATAGGTAATAGAATCTCCTCTTTGTACTTTTATCAGGAGTAATTTATAATCTCCAACAAGGCAAAAATTTTTCTTCTTCAAACATTCTTTCTAAAGTATCTACATTTGAATTTACTAGTAAAATATCATCCATGTAATGATAAACTATAGATTCAGGAAATTACTTATGTATCTTTTCCAATGGCTGATGTACAAAACACTGGCACACAGTGGGGCTATTTAACATTCCTTGTGGGAAAGTTTTTCATTGATATCTCTTAGCACACTGAAAATTATTATAAGTAGGCACCATGAAGGCAAATTTTTCAGTCTTTTTCTTGTAAAGGGATAGTGAAGAAACAATCTTTTAAATCAGTAACTATAAGAGACCATTCTTTAGGCAATAGAGAAGGCAAAGAAATTCCAGAATGTAGAGAGCCCATTGGCTGAATCACCTTATTAACAGCTCATAGATCTGTTATCATTCTCCAGATTTCATTTTAATAACAAATACAGGAGAATTCAAAGGTCTGGTTGATGCTGAGTGTTCAGCTGCTCCTGTACTAGCTGTTCCAAAGCCTGTGGTTTCTCTGTTGTTAAAGGCCATTTCTCAACCCATACATTTGTCTGTGAACCATTTTAAAGGTAGGACTGTTGGTGCCTTTGGAAGATCAGCAGCTATTGAACCCTGTACAGTAGCTTGTACAACCTGAATGGTTAGTGACTGTTCTTTATAATACCTTCTAATAGTTTTCTGAGAAACATATATTAGTTATGTTTTTTTCCTAAGATTAGAAGAATGTTAATCTGAGTATTCCATTGCTATAACAAATCATGTCCCCACAAATTCATTGCTAGTTAGCCACCTGTGGCTTTAATTTTTCTCTTTTCCTCTCTGTTCTTCTGGCCCTATACATTCCACCCATCTTGAGCTCTGTTTTACCTGAGATAACATTCTAATCCCTAAAAGTTGAACATTTATCTCCTGAAGAGTCCAATTTGGATGCCAAGATTCAGGTTCAATTGTTGTTACATCCTCACCTATGTCTATAAAACCTTCGATGACGACATCATTTTATTCATAATTTTAATGTTGATCTTTGTTCATTTATAGAAGTTTGCAAAAGTATGTATTCACTTTACAGTTTCTCCTGATTTTTCTTTCTTTCTTTAACTGTTCTGTCATCCAGAGCAGTATCGTTTCTTACAGTAGGAATTAGATTCTTTAGTTGCCCTGGGAAGGTGTTTCCTCCACGATGACAGGAAACAATTTAACCGAATTTGACGTGGGGGCCTGGGATAGGCCCCTCAAAGCATTTCTCCGATAGCAAAAAACATTACTTGACTGTCCCTTGTTGTTCTATATTCATTATTTCAATGTCTGCGCTTGCCACACCTTCTGTATAATACAGAGGGGCGTTCTGTTTGGGTTATGTTTAGGAAAAAAAATTGTTTCTAGGAATACCCTGTTTACAGTCCCCTTTTAGGTGACCGTGTTTACTGCAGTTGAGACATTTGACATTTTAGTTTTTCTTCTAACCTCTAGAAATCACCTTCTCTATCTAAGCGTCATCATGATTATGAGATTCAGTATTGATTGTATCTCAGATCCATTACTCCAAGGGTGTTGATATTGACTTTAAATGCCTAATTACCCTTTTGCATTGTGAATTAGCATTTTTCAAAAGCCAATGGTTCCATTATTATTTGTCTAGCTTCTGAATTTTTTTGGTATCATTCTAATTACTGCTGAAATCAATCTTCATAAGAAATCAGTAAAGGTTTCTTTCTGACACTTTCTGGCTTTAGTAAATGACTCAATTTTCTTTCCTACTTTTTCAATTCTGTTCCAAGCTTTCAAAGCTACTGCAAGGCATAAAGCCAGGATGTGGTCATCATATAAAGATTGCCTTTGTACATTAGTGCAATCTCCCTCTCCACGAAATAGTCTTGGCAGATTTCTATACCTCTAGTCCTACTTCATTTTTCAATGGTCTTAACCTCATCTTTTCACCAAGTCCTTCATTGTAACTGAGGACCAGGCTCCAAGACTGCTGTAACTTAAATTTCTCTAGTCATTCTATTTCAAGTTAACCATAAGTTTAACATCTGCTTCACAAAAGGTGACTACATGCCATATGAGAGTGTCGCTTCCTTGAATCTCCTTAAATCTAACATTTCCTCAGGAATCCAGTGAGCGCTTAAACAGCCTTGGGAATATCTGTCATTTGGCAGTTCCTGTAAGGTGACTGGATAAATTAAGGTTGGCTGTTTGAAAACCTTAGACTGTTCCTCTCTAATCTGTAATGCAGTGCTGAAATTGGTTCTTCTTTAAATTCCTCTACCTGAATCTGAACATCTCCATGATCTCTTTTAATAAGTTTTTCTAAGCCCTGTATCTTGGCTGTCATATCAATCAGCTTTTTAAGGGACAAACCGAGAATTATTAAACTGACAATAAAGATTATCAAATGATAATTGACATGCCAATCCCAGGGAAGTTGATTATACCTTCATTTAATAATTCCATTTTAAAATTATTCATTGTATACTCATACAGAACCTAACTCTATCGTAATAGTGTTTCCCATTTTATAATGTGGGAGAAAAAAAACCTCTCTTTTAACTAACTCCTCCCTTTAAAGATTTCCAGTTGTCTCACCAAATCTGCTGGTGATGGTGATGAAGATCTGCTGACTGCTACTGCATAGAACAGTAGGAGCCTGAGGGGATTTCAAGTCAGCTACCTAATTTGGCACTAGCCTAAGAAGAGGGTCCAGGGAAAG